CAGTGGTTCTGGCTTCTTTGGTAACCATGTATAAAGATTAGAATTAGGATTTATTTTCCCCTTCACTTAAACATTTAGTAGTAGCTGCTGTTGGGAGGTGAATTACAGGACTAGATGGGCATGTGTAATTGGTTAATTCTGGTTTACAATCTTTATTTTCCCCTGAGTCATGATGGTATAGACTGACCTGCCAGGAGTTATGAATTCTCAAGCCAAGCAGCCCTCCTACTCCACTGCCCTGCAATGCATCTTGTCAGGAGCAGTGAGTGTACCTCTGACCTACCTCATAGTTATATTCATACATTTCTTAAAATTACTCTTGGTGGGGGAGCTGATATCTTATCCTGGCCCTTATCCCTGACAGAGCTCCTCCATCAGTCTGCATAAAGACATGCTTGAACTGGAGCAGCTGTAGCTTTTGGTCATGTTTCACAGCGATGTGTCTTGCTTCTCAGCTGGATTTGTAATAGCCCTGTCTTTTCTTATTGATTCTAACAGTATGGTGAAGTGCTCAATTTGGTGATCTCAAGTAAGAAGACTGGGAGTGCAGTTGTGGAATTTGTGTCAGTTAAGGCTGCTGTAAGTTGAGCAGGAGACCTCAGGTTTACACTCTTGGGAAGCCTGGAGGTGGGCAATAGGATATGGATGCTCTTACTACTGCTATAACCAGTCAAGTAATGGCGGTTATACTTTAGTGCATTATGTTTACAATCAAGACAGTGCAGAAACATATCACTGGAGTCTAGGGTTAATGGGAGCAGAAATCCTAAAACCTAATTTCCAGTTCACTTACACATTTAGTAGTAGCTACTATTAGGAGGTGGATTACAGGACTAGATGGGCATGTATAATCTGGTTAATTCCGGTTTAAAATCTTTATTTTCCCTACTGACCTGCCAGGAGCTGTGAATTCTCAGCCAAGCAGCCCTCCTACTCTAATATACACAGCATGAGGACTGGGTCTATTCTTTTATTCCTTAGATCAAAACAAGTATATATTCTCTTTATCAAATGCACTGATTGTCATAAGTCCTCTCCCTGTTTGATACTGGTGTGGACTTCCTGTAAGGATACTATAGCATCTGTGGATCAGTTATTCTCAGTTTAGTGCTCTATATGGCCTAGATTTTGGGTTGAAACTGAAAAAGTGAGTTTAGAACGAATGGTGTCTGAAATTCAGATAGTGATGGGCAAATGTTCTCATTGATAGGAAATGGCAGTGAAGAATGAAGCTGGTCTGATAAATAATCCTCTAAAAATCTCCTGGCTAGAGGGCCAGCCACAGAACAATCCCAACACCATGTTTCCTGGAAGTACTAATCAGCCTTGGACTTCGCAGGTAAGGAGAATGCAGGCCATTTACTGTTAAACCTACTTGGATAGCAACACCAATGAAGTTTAAAAGGTGAAGTACTCTTTTTTACTCGTCACATAGTAACTTCAGCCAGGAGAGGTTGTAGAGGCAAATAGCATGACCAGGTTCTACAAGGGATTAGACCAGTGTGTGGAGGATAGATTCATTAATAGCTATTAAACAAAACTTAACAATCCTCATATCTAAACTAATGAGGATGGATGTTTGGGAGGGTATGGCAGGGGATAGATTACTCTAGACATGCCTTGTTCATAACTTTTCCTTCCAAAGTAGGGGTGACTAACCTGCAGCACATGTGCCCCAAGTGTCATGGAAAGCCTCTCTGTGTAGCACACACCAGATTGGGTAGGAGAAAAAAGAGGAAGGGGATCAAAGTGGTACTCGAGCTGAATTTGAGGCATGCCTGCCAGAAAAATTGGTTCCCAATGCCCTGAAGCATCTACTACTGCCACTGTCAGATAGAGGATATGGGGTTAGATGCACCATTGGTTTAACCCAGTGAGGCACTTATTTTTCTTACAGTGTTTAATGTGTGATAAAATATGTTCATTCCCAAAAGAGTTTAATGAGAAAGTCCTAGTTAGGGGCCTTGGAGACCTGGACAGACACATACATACCCTGCACTGATTTACATTGGTTTTGGGCAATGATATAAATTGCACTGGTATTAGGAACAGGCAGAAATGCAGCTACTGTTCTCTGAACAGTGGCAGAGAAGTAGGTAACAATCTGTCTGCCTTCTGCAGACAGCTACTCCAGGATGGAAGCAGACAGGAAAAAAGGCAGTATAATTTATGCCAGTAGCGTTTCCTGAGATTCTTTCAGGAGTTACACTACACTGGACTGGGTGAAGTTACCTGCTTTGGTGATGTGCATGTCTATCCACTATCCTTTTACACTGGTATAATGCCAGTTATGTCAGTGTAAAAGTTTTCTCTATCTCAGCCTGTACTTCCTAGTTGGCCTTTGGAATGTCTTGCTGACCCAGTAGCCTTTTGCTGAAACATCTCTTCCCTGAGGAAGTACAAAATGTGGCACAAACTGCTCAAATGACTTTATCTTTCTCTGTTTTCCTCCTCCTGACTGAGAAGCGCAGACATTCTGTGTTTAGCCTAGAGCCTCTGAACTCCTTTTTTTGTGACTTTATTTTAACTGATCTATTCTAACATATGCTCCCTAACCCTGGACATCCTTAGGCTGACTGCAGCTTACTGTGAGTTTGCCAGAAGGCCTTCAGAACGTGTCTAGGGAGGTTGGTTCACCAGGTTGTAGGGAATGCTGGGCTCATGCACTGGTGAAATTGAAACCTAAGGACCAGCTGCTTGTTAAAGTCTAGAGACTGGAGAAATGAAAGAACAGCAGTACCTACATAGATTATCTTGATGATAAGATTCATAGGCTGGTATGTCCTCTCCACCATCCATCCCCATGTTGCTACTATAGCCAGCAGCTCGGCAAGGACATATAGTTCCTTAACCCATAGGTTGGATGAATGGACTGTAAGGTGGATAGAAAACTGGCTGGAGCATTTGGCTTAGAGGGTAATAATCAATGGCTCGATATCTAGTTGGCACCCAGTATCAAGTGGAGTGCCCCAGGGGTCGGTCCTGAGGCTGGTTTTGTTCAATGTCTTCATCAACGACCTGGAAGAAGACAAAGAGTGCATCCTTGGGAAGTTTGCAGATGACACCAAGTTGGAGGGGGGAGTAGTAGATACACTGGAGGGTAGGGCTAGTATTCAGAGTGACCTAGACAAATTGGAGGATTAGGCCAAAAGAAATCTCATGAGGTTCAACAAGGACAAACACAAAGTTCTGCACTTAGCACAGAACAGTCTCATGTACCAGTACAGGCTGGGGGCTGACTGGCTGGGCAGCAGCTCTGCAGAAGAGGACCTGGGGGTTACAGTGGATAATAAGCTGAATGAGCCAGCAGCATGCCCTTGTTGCCAAGAAGGCTAATGGCATACTGGGCTGCATTGGTAGGTGTGTTGCCAGTAGGGCCAGGGAGGTGATTATTGCCCTCTATTCAGCACTGGTGAGGCCACATCAGGAGTACTGTGTTCAGTTTTGGGCCCCCACTACAGAAAGTATGTGGACAGATTGGAGAGTCCAGCAGGGGGCAACAAAAATGGTTGGGGGCTGGGGACATGTGATTTTTGGGGAGAGGCTGAGGGGAACTGGGCATATTTAGTCTAGGGAAGAGAAGACTGAGAGGGGATTTAATAGCAGCCTTCAACTACCTGAAGGGGGTTGAAAAGAGGATGGAGCTAGAGTGTTCTTAGTGGTGGCAGATGACAGAAAAAGGAGCAACAGTCTCAAGTTGCAGCAAGGGAAGTTTAGGTTAGATATTAGGAAGAATTATCTCACTAGAAGAGTAGTAAAACACTGGAACAGGTTTCTCGGAGAGGTGGTGCAATCTCGGGGGTTTGGACTAAACCTCCTGAGGTCCCCTTCCAACCCTGATTTTGGGACTTGGGGGTCATGATTGACCACAAGATGAACATGAGCCATCAGTGTGATCCTGCAGCTAGTAAAGTGAGCAAAATGCTGGCTTGCATCCATAGATGCTTCTCAAGCAAATCCCAGGACATCATTCTCCCGTTGTACTTGGCTTTGATGAGGCTGCAGCTGGAGTACTGTGTCCAGTTTTGGGCTCCACAATTCAAAAAGGATGTGGAGAAGCTTGAGAGAGTCCAGAGGAGTGCCACTCGCATGATCAGAGGTCTGGAAAACAGACTTTATGATGAGAGGCTGAGAGCTATGGGACTCTTTAGCCTAGACAAGCGCAAGCTCAGGGGTGATCTGGTGTCTGCCTATAAATTTATAAGGGGTGCTCACTAGGATCTGGGGGAATGTCTGTTCACCAGAGCGCCCTAAGGGATGACATGGTCAAACGGTCACAAACTCCTCCATGACCGTTTCAGGCTAGACATACGGAAGAACTTCTTTACTGTCCAAGCCCCCAAGGTCTGGAATAGACTGCTGCCGGAGGTGGTTCAAGCACCTACTTTGAACGCCTTCAAGAGACAATTGGATGTTTATCTTGCTGGGATCCTATGACCCCTTCTGACTTCCTGCCCCTGAGGCAGGGGGCTGGACTTGAAGATCTTCCAAGGTCTGTTCCAGCCCTAATGTCTATGAAATTTTCTCTGATTCTATGACTGTGGAGGCTTGTGATGATGTTTGGGAGAGAAATCCATCTAGAATCTGATTGAAAATGGGACACACGCAAGATGATCGTTAACTCTGCTATACCCTGTTAATTTCGCTGAACCAGGGATGTCAAACTCGCTTGTCCCCTGAGGCTGGATCCAGCCCACAGAGTTTCTTGGGAGCCAGATCCAGACCCACTTCTAGTGGTGATAATTGGGATGAGTAGTGTCAGAGAGCTGTGGGGACTAATGCAGCCATGACTCGCCTCCTCCCGCCCCCCTTCCCCATCGGCACATGTCCCTAACAGGCTCTGTGTCCTGAATTTCAGCAATGGGTCCCATTCCCAAATTCATGCCCCTTCTAGGATTCCTGCAAGCCACATGACACCGTTCTGCAAACCAGATCTGGGCTGTGGGCTGTATGTTTGACACCCCTGCCCTAAATAATCCCTGTGCGCTTGTTGTTGTGCTACAGTAGCAGTTTTCCAAACTCAGTCCCTAGTGGTGAGAAGAAGAAATCTGGTTTCTATTTCTGACTCTGCTTGAGGTTGTGCAGCAAGTCAGTGGCAGTCACGCAATCTCCCTCTGCTTACATTCCCCACTGTGCAAGATGGGGACCATAGCCACCCTGTAAATACTATGAAATGCAAAAGTAAACAGTGCCACATAAGGGCATTGTAAGGTACAGTGTGTTTAGTTCTGCAGACCCTTGCATGTCTGGTTCAGATGGTGATACCTTAGCCACCCCTGAGGGATGGGGTGAAGTGCTGCAAGCTCCTCTGCCATTGAGTTCAGATCTGACATAGTCTTTAAATTTCATGTAACCCATCTTCATTTGGAGGTCAAAACCAAGCCCTAACGAATTAGTCAGTGCCAAGAGTGATTCTGCCTCTCTGCCTGTGCTCTCAACCCCCATTTTAGTGGGTGCTTAGAAACCAGCCTTGGGTATATTTAGCAGCTGAATATTTTTGGCAGTTTCCAAGGCTGTTTGATCTTTCCCAACCAATGCAAGGAGGAATGTAGGGGGGATTGCAGAGGGTATCGCCTAGCCACCACCCCAAGTTTTTCAGGCTGGGGTGTGTGCTTGGTATATATGCATCTGCCTGTGATAAGCAGAGTGGCTTCTCTGCCTGGCTGCAGGCTTATGCAGGAGCAGAGTTGAGAGGTTGGGAATGTACAGCTTGAGTTCCATGCACTGCAGAGTCTTTTGGGGTGGCCAGCAGCAGTCAGCCTACTAGATCTCAGCATCCCCCTTGGAGGCACAAGAGCAAGAACTAATGGCCCAGCTAGGAGCTCGTTCATTGCATAACAGGTCATTGATTCAACTGCTGCTTGATATGATAATGCATTCTTGGCTCTAGCACATTCCCTTGTGAAAGCCCTGACTTGTGATTGAGTTTTTCTTGGCTTGTTTTCACGACAAAAGGCTTGTTAGCATGAAACTACAGCATCTGTCTGCTGCATCAGATTAACACGGCTGCACAGAAAGGCAGGGCAAGCCAAAGCAGTCTATGGTATTCCTGGTGCATGGAGGCAGGAGAGTTGCTTCTGCATGGAGTCCCACCAGTAGGGGTACAGGTCCACTGTTAAAGTGGGGAGGGCTTGGGATCTACTAATTAAAAGATAATCAGCCATGCATGCAGTGACCTTTCCATTTGACACATTCCTCCAGTCCATTGTCACTGCTGGTAACATCTGCCATCACTCTGATAACATTGCTCTCCTCTTGCTTTCCAGGCTTGGAGCCATGAGGTACTCTCCAATTCCTTTCTTTTCTACTCCTTGCCTATGCAGCACCTCCCAGATCCTGCTGTTTTCTTTTAACATGTCCAGGATCTGGAACTATATTTCTTGGCTGCTCACTGACTTCACTCTTTTC